TATACTTATTAGCATTTGATGTTTGGTATGCTATGATTTTCACGTTCTCCCATGCTCCCTGTGGCAGCAGTTTATACAGTTCAGCAATTCCAACTTGTTCAGTGCTTTATTTTTTCTGTTTATTTTGGTGCTCTGCTCACACACTCACTTTGTTTCTCCTGGGATTTCTCCTTAAGGATTGAACCTGGAAGGACGTGGAATGCAGGATTCCATACATAGACAATTAAAAACAACAACCAATCAGGAAGGACCTGTCCCATGACCCATCTGTAGATAGCTTGACCACTGTTTTCACTTGCCTAACATTGTTGAGTTTTTGCATTTTTGGTACATTTATAATATTGTATATTTTTTTAAAAAAATGATTTCATATGACTAAAGATGGCCAAGTAGATTCATATAAATCAAATGTATACTGAGTTCCAACAAAATTTCTAATGCAATCTTCTGGATACGGTATATGAATTTAGATCCTTTCTCTGAAGCTTCAAGAAATGTAGCCCAACCAAAATTAATTAATTAATTAATTAATTAATTAATATATGTATATATATATATATAAATGAATGAATGAATGACTGAATGGTGGGTAGGTGGCTTAAGGAAAAACCTCTTAGCCAAATAACAGATTAGAAATATATAATATAAATAAAATAAATTAGAATAAAATGAAGCATTTAAACAAAACTAGATGCCTCTAAGAGCAAATAGCAAGCAAAGCTTAGACAGAAATAATACAATTTAAAAGACACGAGAAAAAATATTTTAAATCAAGAAAACAAATACACATCTTATTTAATGGCTGGCAGGGGGCAAACCTGATGATATTCTAAATTCTAAACAACCTTGTTCAATAATTTCATGTACTATATATGTGAAACATCACAGGGAATAAGACTCCAAGTTTTAATTACCACAAAGTCAAGTTCAGTACTATTAAATAGCCAGATTCTCCAGAAGGAAATCATATTTCAAGATAACAAATGCTGGTCAAGCTTCGTTGTCCCTCTTCTAGTATAAGTAAAGCCTGTTATTGGTCAATTTTAATAAAAAAAAAACCAGGAAAGTGAATTCTAATTAGCTTGGTACCAATGAAGGAGAATATTTGTAGCTCAGGGTTGAAATGAGTGGTCCTTGGTGATCTCTGAGTTTGCTTGTTTTCTTGCAGATGTTTCATTACCCTAACTCAAAGGTCCCCAACCTTGGCAACTGTAAGACTTGTGGACTTCAACTCCCAGAATTCCTCAGCCAGCTTGACTGGCTGAGGAATTCTGGGAGTTGAAGTCCACAAGTCTGAAATTTGCCAAGGTTGGAGACCCCTGCCCTAACTAACATCAGACTAGCACTGGTGATGTTACATAGTTAGGGTAATGAAACATCTACAAGAAAATGAACAAGCTCAGAGAGCACCAAGGACCCCTAATTAGCTTAGTGCCCAGACACTAATGGATCGCTCCCCTTCCACTGCTCCTATTCTGACCGCTTTATTTTTCTACAATGCAGCGTCATTTTAAACTATAATATATTTATATTGGTATTAGAATATTAATATGTAATATATAATGTAATATGTTCTAACTTTATAGTTAGTTTAGATAAGCATTTATTATGGTATATATGTAAACTAAGAAAGCACCCAAAGGAAATATCCCCAGCAATCACTGGAAGTGGAATCCATAGAATTAAGCAATACGGCAGGACTGTGAAAAGTGAAGACTTAATCCAAAGTACCTCCAAATTTGTTTTCATAAAAAAGTTCAAAGTAGGCAAGCTTTGAAAATGCTAACTTAAATTATAGAAAATAATAGAAAAATGAAGTTTGGCTTCATTTACTTGTCTGTTTGATTGATTGATTCCTACAGACATTCACCTCAACAAGTAACTCTGGGCAAAGTATATTGTTTATATTCTTTGTTACAGAATTATGAACTGCTGCCTAAATTATATGGATTTCTAATTTAAAGATAAATGCATTACATAGACAGTCTCTTCCAAAGTTCTGACAATTTAGCAACTTTAATCAGGAATTTTAATACAAGTCCTTTATTTATGAAATCTTCTGTTTCTGTATATGATATATGCATTGTATTTCTCACCAAAGCTGATGGGAAATTTTGAACTGACATAATCATATATGGTTGAGGTCTTCTGAGATTTCACCCAGGGTCTTTTTAACATGTGTGCTACAATAAAAATTCCCATTTCCTTTTATGTATTTTTGTGGAATGTTTACATGCTGGGAAGCATCACAGAAAAATATTTCCTATTCTCATGTCAAAAATCATCTTACAGTGGAAGAAGCTGCAAATGTTAAATCATAACGAAAAAGCAGTCATCCAGGTTTTGTGAAGTATTCACATTTTCTCCGGAGGTAGAACTGGCCAGTATCAGAAACATAAACTAAATCCATTGAACTAAAAATTGATCCATTTTGTGTGCCAAATCAACTCACCCCAATTTACTGGAAAAACAGAGACATAGTGGTTCCTATTCAACTGCTTTGAAACTTAATGAATTTGGTACTCAATGCATTTTGACACAAAAATTTTGTCCCAGTATTCATCACACAAGCTAGAACTTGTCAGTGTTGGCTGCCTTGTGACATTACATTATTCCTTATGGGAAAAGTTTGTTTAGTACTCATCAGTTGTGGTACTCATCATGCCTCTTGGAACCAATTAATGATGAGTATCGAGGTACCACTGTATTAGAATTAATTTTCTAACATATTAAGAACATTAACCTGAAGTTTCAGAATTTTCAAGCGTGTGGTACCTTAATATTTTTTAAGACAAAGTATAAAGTAAAGTGAAAATACTTGTTTATCAGAATGCCATTTTGGTTTGGATTAAAAAGATCTTTCGCCTATAAGTATCTTTGAAATCACTAAAATAATATTAACCTCATAAAAATTATTTTGGCAAGACTATAAAATAATTTGCAATTTTTTTGTAAGACTTTTGGACACAATTCCACTGAGAGATACAAAGAGACAAAAACCAATGTGAAATACCCCTCCTATAATTAATCAACTTCAAATCTTCTTGTAAAATATGTAACTACAACCAACCTAGGCATTTCCATTTCTCAAAAGTAAACAGTACATTCTGCCATATTATTAAAAATTACCTGCAATTATCTTCAGAACAAGGTTTTAGAAGACACCAAACCTAAAGATCTAAAAATAATGCCATTCACTTAAAATTGTAAAATTCCAGTAAAAATTGTACAGGATTAAATAATGAAACATCTATGAGGTTGTTTACCCCCCCCCCCAGCCCCAAATTATGGGTCTCACCAACAGTATGTAAGTACATGCCTACAATGTCTAACGTGTTGCAATAACTCTGGGCTTAGCACAAATCTTATATTGTTTTTGATTATTTGATTATTCTGCAGTCCGTGCATCTTGGAATTGTTTTAGTTAAAATTCCTGAGAAGTCTTTCAAGTTCCAAATTATATTCTCAATGTTATTTTCTGATCTGAAGTTGGACCACTGTCGGTGTAGGCAAGAATCCAGATCACAAATTTTAATTATTAGTTAACCTGAACTGAATCACCATGGGCTTGGCTCCTCTTGTGTTAACAGATTCCTGACACTCTCTTTGGAGTCACCTCTTAAAGGCTGGGTTCCAAATGTGTAATATCTGTCGGGAAGCACTTCTGACAATAGCATTAGAGAGCAACAGAGCCAATATTAAGGAAAGAATAATGGACAGAGAACACCAATTGTTCCAAATTGCCATAATATGGAAAAAAGAAATTGTTCTCTGAAACCAGCAGATCAAATCCCAATTATAGAAGGGGCTTCATACTGACAAGTAGAACCCTTTGCCCTCCTGCCTGTAACTGGAAAATGAATGGAAAAACCAATCTAGCTTGAGAGTTTTGCTCTTGCAGCTTCATGAGTGTTTAATTAATGGTCTGTTCACCTCTATATTTTATAAAGATATACAGCATTCTTTCATTGCCCTGCCTCCTAAAACCAACTGGTTCATGTTATGATGGTTGCAGTATTCTAGGATCTTGTGATCACCTTTTGCAACCTTCTCACAAGCAATGAGAAAATCAGATTCATTAACAACTATGTTACAATGACAACTGTGGCAGGAAAGGTCATAAAATGGGACAAAATTCACTTAACAAATGCCTCGCTTAGCAACAGAAATTTTGGGGCTCAGTTGTAATCATAAGTCGAGGACTATCTGTATTTCACATTCATTATGTACATTTTGTGTGATTTGATAATTGAATAAAATAAAACAATTAACTAATATTTAATGCATTTCTCCACTAGGGAGTGAGTGGTTGCTCTACCTCTCTTTCTGTGATCAAAATTATGAATAAAATTATAACGGTGACCTTATACATGACAATGCTTTTTATATGATAAAATTACAAGGAGTTGGCTTTTAAGGCAAAACTCTTTTCAATTAAAATTATTTTTTTTATGAAAATTCTGCAACTTGCAGAAGGACTGGGCCCACAGAACTTCTTAATAACGTTCTTTCCAGTACATCAGGACTTTCTTATTTCTGTTTTACCTCAATCCCATTTCCCAAATATATATATATATTTCAAGAAGGAAGAAGGAACAGGATTGTATTTCTATTCCCAGTATGCCTAGAACATTTTACTGAGAATGCTGGAGTATGTCATATTTAATTATTCATGGCGGAACAAACTAAAACCAGAGGATTTTTTTAAAATGGCCTATACACACATACACACATATGCTGAGAATTAAAATGATAATGTATTAATTTGCCACATAGGGGTTTACCACAACTATTGAAAAATAAGAAGCAAGACAGTACATGAATCCAGGCTAAAGTGCTACATAAATAATCACAAAATAACTCTTACACAATGAATATAACAAAGAGGTTAGGCAATCAACATCTGCTTGTGGACTGTCAATCACTGGGCCTAAACTGCCCAACCACATGTGTGCATAGACCTGATAGGTCAGCGTGAGACAGAAAGTTGAGACATTTACCTGTTCACAGACAGTATCAGTTGATCCAGACAAGCTTTGATCTTGTTTTGTGCTTCTAAATGTGTCATATTTTCTGTGCTGTCACCATTGATTGACAAAATGACATCACCTGGGCAAAGGTTAGCAAGAGCAGCTTTACTTCCTGGATTTATCTATAGGAGAAAAAGAAAGGAACATTACAAACTATGATATTTTGATTGTGTAAAACTCAGTTCTGTCTCTGAAAGGACAAACATACGGAGTTGGGGAGATATTCTAAGAACCACGTGGGTTCTCCTGTAGTTTCTGTCGCTGTTGTTGGTTGCCTTCGAGTCAGTATTGATTCCTGGCAACTGCCTAAACAAGTCTTTGCAATTTTCTTGGCAAGATTGCAGAAATGATTTGCTATTGCCGCCTTCTTCTTCCTAGGCTGAGGGAGACTGGCCCAAGGTCAGCCAGCTGGCTTTGTGCCTAAGGCAGCACTAGAACTCACAGGTTCCTGATTTCTAACCTAATGTCTTGTGTTTCTCAACCTTGACAATTTTAAGGCATGTGGACTTCAACTCCCAGAATTCCACAGCCAGCATTGCTGGCTGTGGAATTCTGGGAGTTGAAGTCCACATGCCTTAACATTGTCAAGGTTGAGAAACACTGCTTGACTACTGTACATCAAACTTGGCTTTCTCCTATCAATTAGCGGCTCTAAATGCTGCAACCTAGCTAGTGCATATAATTGGCAGTTAAAGAGAATGTAATAATATCTTCTACATCCGAGTATGGTATTCAGTGAAATTGCTCATATTTTACCAGAGGATGGAACTGCTGAAGTTAAGAGTAGAATATAAATATAATTGGATAATTTGCAAAACCGAGTAACTAAGTTGGAAACCAAGCCACAAAATAATTTACATGAAATATATTAGCTCAATATATTTGCAAAAATGTAACTTTTGTTTTTCAGAAAATAGACTCTTGTTGGAGCCTGACTTCTCTGAGAATTGGTGTACTCAGTAAGTAATTCATTCAATAATTCTTGGAAAATAGTTTAAAATTATCTAAAAATGCTAAAACTGAACTGATGAGAGAGTACTGGTAATAGAAAACAGCACCATGAACCTTTTAAAAAAGATTTTATCAATGATTAATATTTTTTCCTCTCAGTTTCCCCAAAGACAGATGTTTGAAATTCAGATTTCACACCATGATAAGTGATTCATACCTAAATTATAAAGTAAATTATTCTGTGGCTTTGTTTCCAACTTACTCAGTTTTTCAAATTATGCTTTGGCAATATTTGTTAAAGATGCCAGTGTGACTTAGTCAACAAACTATGATTTCTGATTTAATGTTGTACATGAATGAAACTCATATTTCATAGTAATAAAGTACCTTTATTTTTCAATTCACAGATCAAAATTAAGCAGGTAAATATTCCCCATAGTTTCTAAACGTTTGCCCTTCCAGAAACCAAATCTGATTTTTATATTCATAACTTAATAAAAAGATTCTTGAGAACTGATTACAATTCCGAAATCAACATTTTCAGCTCAAAGGTCAACAAGTTCTAAAATCTGGCTGTAAGTATATTTGACTCTTGGAAATCTCCAGCCTTTATTCCCAAGTTTCAGTGCTTCGCGACATGGATCAGTTCTTTGAAACCAAGCAATAAATGATAAAATACTTCTGCAATTAAAAGAAGCAGTCAACATTATGGAAATCATACTAATAGCTTCCTGCTGAGGTGTTATCTTCCCCAACAGCTTTGCTTGGCTAGTACTCAAATAGCTTGTCACTTGCCAGTCATGCATGAAATATCATGCTGTTTATTAAACTCCACAGCATTTTCCCTGGTGTTTTGTCTTAATGCCAAGATCTTGCAAAGACTGTTACTTTGTTTCAGGGTGACTAATGGTAGATCCTAGCAATGTTCGTAATTCAACTAAAATGCTTTTTTTTAAATTTTTATTATTTAAACCAACAAAACAAAACATAACACACATATATACACAGTATATATTTTAACAGCAATTTCGTAATAGTAATCTTCTATTATTTACATTTCCCCCCTTATTCTTCTTTAGAGTATTTGTCCTTGTTGCCCCATTATTTCTTATTTGCATTTTTCTTCCTTCATACATTATTATACACACATTTTCCACTTTTAACCTTTCCACATTTATTCTCTCTTATTTCTACTCTCCAGCCAGTCATACCACTTGTTCCATATTAAATAGTANCTCTGATGGTATATTCTCATTTTTCCAGAACTGTGCGTATGCTATTCTTGCTGCCGTTGTTGTATGTAGAATTAAGTACCGTATTTCTTTACTATATTTTCTGTTTAAAATACCCAGCAAAAAGATCTCTGGTTTCCAGTCTACAGGTTGGTCTATTATTTCTTCGATCCATCTTCTTATTTTAGTCCAGTATTTTTTTTGCAACTGGGCATGTCCACCATAGATGATAATATGTTCCGTGTACTTTTTTACATAAAATGCATTTTAATAGGGTTTTAAAAAAAAACAAAAAAAACCTTCAGTAAGCATCTATTAGACTAGCAAATTGAGTTCCATACATACAGCTGACCTGTAACAACAAATCAGTGGCTAGTAAGTATATGTATATATTGATCTACCTCCTCAATCTATCTTCCAAGAGATTTGGGACTGTATACTCAGCATACTGGCTGGGGAATTCTGGGACTTGAAGTCCACATATCTTAAAGTTGCTAAGGTTGAAAAACACTGCTGTAGCTCATGTAATTGCTAGTTGGAAAGGAGTAAGTTGGCAAGGGCAACATTAATCCAAAAGTTTCAATACTCCTTCACAACTTCTGTTACTACTTCTGCTAACTCTAGATAGTTGGCATTAAAAATTGCTCTTATAGTTTTAATCATATCTGCTCCATTAAAATATAATGTTTTATTGCAACTACAATCTTGTTTCTCAGGGTGTATTTAATATGTAAATACTTTAATCATCTCCTCCAATTGTTTTTTTTAATAAAGAACATGTTGCTTCATGAGGATCAGAGATAAAGATATTTCCTCAGTATATATTATTTTCCATCAAGGCACAGAAAGTGCTTTCTTATTTAATAAACAAAAAAGAGCAGAATTTTCTGAGGCCGTTAGTGGCTTTCAGAAATTGATGGGACATAGTACCTGGATAAGACTTCTCTCTCTTGATCTTCGTTGAATAATATTATATTGGGAATAGTAACATAGCAAAGCCAATATTATAGCAGAAAGACTGTAAAATTCTTGACACAAATCCATTCTATACCAGATCTACCATTTCTGGGCTGCAAACATTTACTCAACAACAAATTAAAAAAAACTAAAACTTTCTTCCACTATCTAGGGCTCATTCAGATTTTTGTAGCAGGCAAGGTTGCCCTTACCTAATCTGAGCTCCAAACTCATGAAGAGGCCCAAATTAACATCCTTTGTGAAATAACCTATTAATTTATTAATAATTTTAATTTATTTAGGCTATAAAAATCTGGATCAACAACTAAATGGAACAAAGAAAGTTTTCTGTATCTCTTTGCTGCCATCCATTATATGTCTAAATTTGGTATGACATGGTAGCCCTTTACAAGAACAAACAGAACTTCATGGCCTTTGGGTATGTATGGTTAATTCCTAAAGATTTGTCGCTTTCTGCAGCACTGAACTCCTCCCAAATGCCTCTTGATCCTACTTTTTCTCAGTAGTCTTGTTTGATTAAATAGCCTTGATATAATGCAAGATTCCAATTTATATAAGATTATCCCAGAACTGCTCTATAAGTATTATCCATTTAATACAGATCAGTGGATTTTAGTTACACTCTCCCATATCCAAATAATAAAATTGCCTTGCAACGTAATAAAGAAAATCTGGGTTTTTTAGTCTGGTTTGGAAAATGTGCATAGTTTCAAATATAAGTCCTTTCTGGGTATTTATTTGCTGTTCATAAATAATTTTCTTTCCTAAAGCTGCCCTCTGTCCCAATAAAGTAAGGCCTCCAGGAGTTTGAACTGAAACTGTTTTATTTTATTATTTTTTGCTTTCAGATGGGACATGACTGATTACTGAACAAGATTACACAGTTATTTGTTATGAAATTTAGGCAAGCGATTTATTCTGATTTTGAGATAATCTCTTATACACTTTTTTTTTAAAAAAAAATACGCACTGGAAGGGAGGAGGATTAAATAAATGGTACTATCCATTTCTAAATTACTAGATTTTAACAACTACATAATCTTCCCTTTGAGGTAGGCCAGTTCAAGAAATAAGATACTCCAAGACTATTGGAATTTTGTTACTGGATGTCTCACAGAATTTCCTTATGCCCCCTCTTATACTAAAGAGAGTCAAGGGGCAGTTATCTTGAGTTTCTTTCTCATCCCCTCTTCTTTCCCAGAGCTATGCAGAGGTTTAGCTAACCATTCTTGTGTTTCTTCTATAGTGTTCCATATGCTTCTAGGTAGATAAGTCAGCCTTTGTTATAATATACTTTGTTAAACAGAGCGAAAAAGAAAAAGAAACTATGAAAAAGCTTATTTAGTTCAATATTGTTTTCATTAAGACCTGGCAATGGCTTAATACAGACAAAGGAGAAAAACGTATTACTTTTAAAAGATTATACAACTAAGTTGAATTAAAGCAGCCTTGCTAGAAATTGGGGAAACTGATACCATCAATTGAGGGAAAGCTGAATCAAAACAATATTGTACATATTGTGGTCAATAATACTCGTTGATAATATTCAGTCATATGTCACCTTTACAAACAATAGTTGAATTGTTTTGAGTTAATTTCTTTGGAGGAAAAAAAATGAAAAGGCACTCCTGTCTTCCAAAAGATTTAAATTGACCTTTTTATATAATGTGAATGAAGTGACTCAGTACAGAATACCTTGGATATTCCAGTTTATTTTTTTTGGCAGGACTGGAACATTTTCCAAAGTTTAAAACTTTCTATTGTGTTTGTAAAATCTGAATGAAGTAACAGCATTCAAGAGACAATGTTACTCTTGTTTTCTGGGTTGCTAAACTTGAAGCCTTCATCCAAGGTTGTCTCATTGTCCCCTTTTTCTACTATGAACTGAAAAAGAACAGTATATTCAAAGTTAATCTAAACATAATATATTTCATGTAATCTTGTCTCAGTCATGAATTCAG